AGTACTCTGTGATGAAAGGGGATTTTGATATTGCTGCATTTGCTGTTCATCTCTGCAGAATGGTCATGAGAAAGCCTGCTCTCTAATTCTCATAGTGACACAGATCTTGGAAAGCCCAAGCTGCTCAGAATTAGCTATTCCTGCTGCTGATTGATGAGAGAACTCTGTCACTGTATATTACTGGTTTGTCTCCTCAAGACTTGTGCTGTGGCTGAAGAGTGAGTTTAGTTCCAAATCCCCACAGAAGCTTGCTGCTTTGAATATACTGAGCAAGTGTCAGTAAATCAGGATTTCACCTGTATGGTAAAGATTTGTTGAAGTGTTGTTTTTTCCTATTGCAATGTTCACTACTACCCCCCTGGATTACAAATACTCTCCCATGCAGAGAGTGAGCGCTCTTCCATTGATTAAAGGGCCCCAACGTTGAGAGACTTTAAGTTTCATCCCACTGGCCAGTGGTTAGGTAGGACATTTCTGCTTTAGATAGTACTGCTATAACAAATGTCAATAAGCTGCTAAATCTCATTAACAGTTATTGTTTCATGTGTCAATGTCACTTTCATATGCCACCCTAGTCAGTGTGATACTAGTCAGTTTTTGGAGTCTTTGGCGAGTGAATTGTGACTTCTTACTAACTGTGTTATGCAAAGTGGTATCTGTGTTTTATGTACATTACCTGTGTTAAATCAGCTAGTTCTTTTTCAGGGTTTGTCTTCTTCAATAAAACCCATATAAAATATTCTGAGAGTGTCGAAGTGTTCTGGGTATAATCGGAGGTGTCACCAGATTCAGGTGGGAGCTGAACCTATTTATCTAGGCAAGCATGACCCAAGGGTGTGCTACACTGGAATACCCGGAGGGAGCCCACGTAGGCACAGGGAGAACATGCAAACTCCAGGCAGGCGGTGCTGTGGCTGGGATTTGAACCGACCGTAGCACTAAGTCACAGATGGCACCGAGAGCCTTGTGTCACCTCAGTCCGCATTTTTCAGGGAACGTTCATCTTACCTTGATGTGTGGTCTCCAGCCTTCGATCGGGTCTCCTCTCACTGCTTAGGGTTGTGGGGGGGTGGCCGGGCCAGGGAGGGGGAACCTTGGGGCCGGGGGTCTATGCTCCGCTCACTGTTGGAACTGGGGTCCTGCAGGTTCATGGGTCTGTTCCTGGGCTCCTCCTTAGCTGCCGTGGTGGACAAGTGTGCTATGCTCGGCTCTTCCAGAGGCCAATTCTGCGTGAGGGTGGCATGGGGGCCAATGGATGAGACAGCGCGAGTTGCTGGCATGCGGAGCCAGTACTGGGGCACCGAGTGAGCTCCCACCACTGCGGACAACATTCCACCCACACTATTAGAGAGGCCCAAGGCGTAAACAAAAAAAAAAAAAACTCATACAGACGGGCTCCTCTCTAGGGAAGGCGCATGTAGGCACATGCATACAGTGAGAAATCCGGCCCTGTGCATCAGACCAAAAAGAGGTCAGTGGGATTTGGTTCCACATGAGAGACAGTGCCTCCAAATAAAGGACAGTTGGAGAGCTATGTTTAAAGGGATGTGTGTGGAGGAGGGGTGATGGCTTTCCTAGACATCTGCATCAGGAAGAAGGGTCAGCCGCACACCGGAGGATTGATGAATATAGTGTATATTTATTGACCCATAGGACACACTGAATACAGGACCTGTTAATGCGTTTCACACAATCTTGTGCTTAATCATAACCGGTTATGAGATTGGGAAAGCAAAACTGCTTTTTGCAGCCCCCTAGACATAGAGGAGCATTTAACCTTTGCAGAGTGGGGGTAGTCCCACTACAAGGAGCATTTTCCCCCAAAGTTCAGCTTTTACTGGCCAAATTCTTATCCTACGTGGGTAGCTCACAGAGCACTAAAGCAAGAGACAGCCAGATAAAGTACATTTTAAGGGAGGTCATAAGTAGCACCTGATCCCTTTATTTCATGATCGGTTCCTTGCTGGGGTTTTTTCCCCCCATTGTTCAGCTTTGCCACAGCACACGTTGTACCCTATTAGTCATTTTGGTATTCATACGGTCCATGTTTTAATTCTCTACTCGTTTGATTTTCTGTTCTCTTTTTAATGAGGCCTGTCTTTGCAGAGTGGGACAAAAATCCTTTGAAAAATATGGCTGTAATCAGTTTGAGCACCTCTCAAGGTAACTAATTAGTGCAGAGTGTAATTGTTATCAGATAGCAGATAGCGGTGAAGTGGTGGCTGCTTTGCAGGCAGCCATCCATCATTGAGACACACAAGGAAGCATCCTGGTCTGCACTCTTCTCTGTATTCTCAGCATGTCGCAGGTTACCATTAGTTGGTGAGCCTGGGGAGACAATCGTTTAGCGCAGAGATAACAAGTTTTCACTAGCTAATCATGATTGGTTAATCATACCCGATCTGTTTTCTTCTATTAAAAGGCACCTGGTTCTTTTAAAGTTTTGTCTTCTGTTTTTTTTTTTATAATCTTAAGTTTTTCTCTCATATAACACAGAGTGCCTTATTCACAAGGGCCTCCTGCGCTTAAAAAGCTTTTTTGGCCACACATCTCTTGTGGGTCATGTGGGAGTACACTTACCTTTGCTTTCCAGTGACCCAGAGTCATCTGACATTCAGTTATTGTCTGCTATCAGCTGACATGGTAGAACTGCTTTAAGCGCTGGAAAAATCCTGACAATATTGTCGGGATCCTCCCAGCTGCCTGATTGACAGCTGGTTTCATCACTCAGCAAGAACACTGGAGGAGCAGAGTGGAGAGTGGTGACTGTCAGTCACCACTCTCATTGCCCGGAAGACCAAGAACTGAGAAAGCAGCAGTCATGTGATCGCTTAGTTCTAGGTCCTAAAGCTGATGTGGCACAGCTGCAGCATTACACCGATGAGGCAGCATAGAGCTGACTATATGTGTTTTTTTATTCACCCCAAAGTTCTCCTTTAAGACCCCTTGCACACAGTTTGCCTAGCCTCTGTGCCTTCAGTCCAGTCCAAGGATGCATAGAGTTTTACATGCTGTAGGCAGCAGTCCTGGATGCTGCATTAATGTCTCTGGGCGCACTAAAACACTGGGATTGGAGACACAGGGCTTAGATGCCCTGGGTACAAGGAGCCTAAATAAAACAAGTGCAGGAGGCCCATTTGAATGAGGCCCTGGGAAGTTTAGTGTTTGTTGTGCTTTATATGCAAAATGTACATGCATTTACATATAGTACGTTTAGATGCATATACTGTAGATGCTTTCAGAGTATCTAACCTGCCCCCAGAAGTTAATTTTTTTCTAAAGGCAGTTAAAATGAATTGACCTGAATGCAAGTAAAAATGCACATTATGACATTTAAAACTATTAATTGTGTAGCGCTACTCCTGTAGGAGCCACAGGAATACTGCCCAGGTCCTCCTCCCTTTGGCCCTACAGCCAAGCACATAGGCTCATTCACTCATTTCTCCAATAATCAGTCTAGGACAGGGGTAATGAATTAAAATTCATAGAGGTCCGATCAGTAACATCTTATTTCAGCAAAGGTCAGAATCTCATGTTTGTTCTGAAACTCAAATCCTTCACATCAATGCCCCCCATTTACATCACAGCCCCCCCTTGGCATCACAAAGCCCCCCCCTTTACTTCATAGGGGCCCTTCCTTACATCACACATCATACACCCTTTGCATCAGAGCCCCCAATTCACCCTGTTTACATTACAGTGCTCCTCTTTACGTCACAGTCACAACTTTACAATTCAGGCCCCCTTTTACATCACAGACCCCCCTTTAAATTACAGCCCCCTTTACATTAAAGCCACCCTTTTGCTTTGCATCTCCCCCTTTAAATTACTATCCTGTTACATTACAGTGCCCAGACCTCATTAGTAACACACCACAGAATGTACCCTTGTGGCTAACAGAAGACAATGTCCGAAAAAGACTAAAAAATCTCAGCACAAATAAATCATCAGGACCAAATGGCTTACACCCGAGAGTCCTCAAATAACTCAGTCAGGTTATAGCCAGGCCACTATATCTAATTTTTATGGACAGCATACTGACAGGAATAGAACCGGAGGGAAAACATGCTACCACTATTCAAAAAAAGGGCAGAGACATACACGGGGGAACTACAAACCAGTCAGTCTAACATCAATCGTATGTAAAATAATTGAGGGTATGATAAGGGACTGCAAGAATTTACTAAAAAAAAGAAACAGTATAATTAGTAGTAATCAGCATGGATTTACAAAAGGTTATTCTTGCCAAACCAATATGTTAACATTAGAAAACAGTTACAGGGACGCGTCCAACAGGTGGTTATAAATAGTGAATATACTTAATCTCAGTATAAAAAGTAAAGGAAACTGTGAATAACACCAAATCGCGCTAGATGCAAAAATAAATAAATAAATGAATTATATCATGTGTAACTATTGCACATCCCTTGCTGACACTATATAATTAGAGATGAGCGAATCGAACCAGGCGAACCGGAATTCGATACGAATTTCAGGAAAAATTTAGATTCGCGTCGAATCCGAATATTTGCCTACTTCGGGTGCGCGAATCGGATTTTTCCCGATCAGCCGGCAAAAGTGTCCCTGCAGAGAGCTCCGCTATTTCTGACATTTCTCTGACAGTTCCTTCACATGTACAGCGGTTGAAACATTGTATCTATTAGTTTCCATTTAGGATACAGATGTTTCAACCGCTGTACATGTGAAGAAGCTGTCAGAGAACTGTCAGAAATAGAGGAACTCTGCACATACACTTTTTGCCGGTTTGGAATTCTTATTTTCATCCTACTTCTTCTTCTTCTTCTTCATCCTCATCCTCAGAAGAAGAAGAGGATGAGGATGAAGAAGAAGAAGAAGAAGAAGAAGTAGGATGAAAATAAGAAGAATTCCAAGCCGGCAAAAAGTGTATCTGCAGAGCTCCTCTATTCTGCAGATACACTTAGAGGAGCTCTGCAGATACACTTAGAGGAGCTCTTCACTCCATACAGCGGATCCATTTATGGAAACAAATAGATACAATGTTTCAACCGCTGTATGGAGTGAATGTCCCAGAAACTGTCAGAAATAGGCTATTTCTGACAGTTCTGTGACATTCACTCCATACAGCGGTTGAAACCGCTGTATGGAGTGAATGTCACAGAACTGTCAGAAATAGCCTATTCCTGACAGTTCTGGGACATTCATTTCACTCCATACAGCGGTTTCAACCGCTGTATGGAGTGAATGTCACAAAACTGTCAGAAATAGCCTATTTCTGACAGTTCTGTGACATTCACTCCATACAGCGGTTGAAACATTGTATCTATTTGTTTCCATAAATGGATCAATTTATGGAAACAAATAGATACAATGTTTCAACCGCTGTATGGAGTGAATGTCACAGAACTGTCAGAAATAGGCTATTTCTGACAGTTTTGTGACATTCACTCCATACAGCGGTTGAAACCGCTGTATGGAGTGAAATGAATGTCCCAGAACTGTCAGAAATAGACAGAAACTGTCACAGAACTGTCCTTCTTCTCATCCTTCTCCTTCTTCTCATCCTTCTTCTCATCCTTCTCCTTCTTCTCGTCCTTCTCCTTCTTCTCATCCTTCTCCTTCTTCTCATCCTTCTCCTTCTCCTTCTTCTCATCCTTCTCCTTCTTCTCATCCTTCTCCTTCTTCTCATCCTTCTTCTCATCCTTCTCCTTCTCCTTCTCCTTCTTCTCATCCTTCTCCTTCTCCTTCTTCTCATCCTTCTCCTTCTCCTTCTTCTCATCCTTCTCCTTCTCCTTCTTCTCATCCTTCTCCTTCTCCTTCTCCTTCCTCATCTCCAAGGGCATTTAAATTAAAGGTACAGTGTTCTGCACTAATTTAAAGGCTCTCTGAAGCCTAGAAACCCTTTTTATAAGTTAACTTCGTAGCGAATTAATTCGCATCGAATCGAATTTCTTCCTGAAATTCGGCGAATCAGCCGAATCGAATTTTTGAATAATTCGCTCATCTCTATATATAATAATCCAAAATGAATATAAAACCCACAGTGATAATGTGAAAAAGTGGCGCGCACACACTTCACAGCGCTAAATTTATCATTAAAAAAATTAAAATTTAAACATGCTATCCCGAACATGATAATATATATACTGAGATTATCTTCCAGTGAAAAACAATAAAAATTCAGTGAAAAAAAAACCCAGTGTACAAATCAACAAAATTTTGTGATAAAAAAAGCCCAGTGATGAAAACAGAACATACAGTGTTGAAAAACACAGTGGTCACAGTGCGCCCCCACACGGGTGTGCACTTACCAGTCTTTTAATGTCCTCTGCCTTTAGTATGTAGAAAACAGAAGAGGGCTTCAACTGGTAAGTACTGGGAGTCCCCAAACTTGACTCATTCAACAATCAAATGCCAGGGTTATAGAAAGTATCCACTCCGTTGTTACTCCATGCCCAACCACATCATGTAATGAAAGAAGAACAAGGCCCGCTCCAATGGTGTAGTATAAAAGATATATCATTTTGTGATTTTTTTATCACTGAATTTTTGATTGTTTTTCACCGGAAGATAATCTCAGTAAAGTAAACAGCGGGGCCGCTTGGTGCTCTCACCACCTCTGGAACTATCGGACCAGACGCCGTCCAGTCACTTCCGGTTATGGACTCGCGTCACTTCCGGTTTACCTCACCTTCACGCCCTGACGTGTTTCGTCATTTCCTGACTTACTCATAGGGAACCTCTCATTACATAAATTGTGAATACTCGGACTGGACTGAAGTGGTAAGTGGGGTACCTGTCCTGGGGCCAAATCAAAAGTGGGAAACTTTTTTTATTCTCAAACCACAAGTAATCCTCTCCAAGGATAGATTTTTTGTAAGGGTTGTTTTATCCCAATATGCTTTAATCTCTTTGATCATGCATTTTTGCAATTTACGAAATAACAATTTCAGAGCTCCTGTATTGTCTTCATTATTTGCATGTAACAACCATTTTCACTGTGAAGATGACAGTGTCGGCCTCACAGGGAAAAGGACAGAAGTGCTGATTGACCTGAACGGATGGTGTGGGAAAAAGAGGAGACACAGGCAGCTGTATGGTACAGGTGCAGCGGTCTGGACAGACTTGTCGCTCGGTCTCGGGTTCAGACCACGGTCCACCATTTAGTGATGGTTGGTCTAGGGCAGTGGTGGGCAACCTTTTTTTTTTTTCAACTGAGCCAAATCTCGCCAAAACCACGATGGAAATTTATTTTGAGAGCCACATTTTTAAAACTGAAAATACATCCCCCATATAGTAATTCATCCCCCATAGTAATTCATCCCCCATATAGTAATTCATCCCCCATATAGTAATTCATCCCCCATATAGTAATTCATCCCCCATATAGTAATTCATCCCCCATATAGTAATTCATCCCCCATATAGTAATTCATCCCCCATATAGTAATTCATCCCCATAGTAATTCATCCCCCATATAGTAATTCATCCCCCATATAGTAATTCATCCCTCATAGTAATTCATCCCCCATATAGTAACTCATCCCCCATATAGTAATTCATCCCCCCTATAGTAATTCATTCCCCATATTGTGTCAATTCACTTACCTTTGCTCCGCGCGTTCCTCTCGCCGTGTTCCCACGCCGTTCCGGTCTTCAGGGCGGACTGTGAGAGGAGAGGAGTTCGTCACGCTGCCCCGCCTACATCCTGACAGCCAATGTTTGCCACGCTCCGCGGGCCGGATTTAAAGGTCCGCCGGGCCGTAGTTTGCCCATTGCTGGGCTAGCTGCAGAGTCCTGACTTTTGGGGCGGCCGCCTGAGAGGAGGGAGGGGAGCGGGCGCCCGGCACACAGAAAAGCCGCATTAAAGAGTGTAAAGAGCCGCATGTGGCTCGCGAGCCGCGGCTTGCCGACCACTGGTCTAGGGTATTGTTTTTATTTTTGTAGAATTGGGATAGGGATGAGGGAGATGAGTGGGATAATCTAAAAATATGAACTACGTACATTGAGTCTGTGCTTGGATCAAACAGTGGACTTCAGTTTTAAGGCAGTAGTAACAAGTAATAGCAGTAACAGTATTAGCAGAAACTTCTTTAGATCCCCAGAGCAGTGTCCCTTTAAAGAAGGCCGGGTGGACAAAGCTCTTCAGAACACCAGCTGGTGCCCTCTTTAGCCTAGACCCGCAGCTGACTTCCTAGCACCAGAGGGGGTTAAACAGCACACAGTCTCAAAGATCCTTAGGTATGTCTGTACTCACAAGGCTCAACAGCAGCTGGATGCCTTCCTCCGTGATACCAGACCAGTAGACAGTTCCTCAGTCAGAAGAGCAGAACCTGGATTTTTAGCATTCAGGCCCTCAGGTTGCCCACCTGAGGCCGCATGGCAGTAGATACAGAAGAAAACCAGAAGTGCAATGGCAGAGATAAGCTGCTGACTCCTATGCCAATTTATAAATAAAACAATATTAAAATTTTGGAAGTCCATAAATGTCCATTAAATAGCAGCAACATCAGTGTCAGCCATCCTCAGAGTATGCTAGCTCTGTATGTGGAAACAAGAAAGGAACACGGGGGACACCACTAAGTGTAGTAATAAAAACACTTGTTTAATAAGCAATTGATGATATACACTCACAAGTAGAAGATAAAATAGTCACTTGTCATAAATAAAGTTCACCGTCTGTCTTTCTCAGCCTATAGGATCCGTCTGCAGGTCCCACTTAACCACAGGTGGAGAGAAACTTGGATGATGTACGGAAATCGTCAGTTCCCAAGCCTGCTTGGAACGCATGCACAGGCGGACGTGACATCACAGGGGAAGGATTGGTTTATCTAAAGGCAGGCTACGCACTCTGAGCTCTTGGCTCCTTCTACAGACCTGTGGTTACAATGGAACCTGTAGACAGTTCCTACAGGCTGAGAAGGACAGAAGGCGAATTTAAGCGACTATTTTATCTTCTTCTTGTGAGTGTATATCATCACTTGCTTATTAACCTCCCTGGCGGTATTCCCGAGTGTAGCTCGGGGTAAAATTTCAGTACCAAGAGCGGTAACCCCAAGCTACACTCGGGCTTACCATGCGGCGTTGCTCAGGGAGTCCCTGCAGCGCTTACCTTGTCCTTCGCTCCCGTGATGTGTCCCCTGCAGCGTCCCCAGCCATCTCCTCCGGCCGATGCCGGCATCCGGCTTCCATGTTCCGGTCCCTGTGACGTCGGGACGTACGGGCGCCGGAACCGGCGGCAAATTTGAAATTTAAAAAAAATGTAATTTTTTTCAAAAATGATTATTATATAGTAAAACATTGCTGTTTCAATGCATTTCACATACATTTGTCCCTACTGCTTTGTCCTGTGCCCTGCCTGCATTTTGACTGTTCTTTCTGCCTGGAAACTTAGAAAAGTCCATGGCGTCCAAAAAGCGTCCCTTTATGTCAAAAGCGGTTTTAGACCAGCTAGAGAACAGGGACAGTAAATCAGAACCACTTGCAGAATTGAGTGATGATTTGTGGGGAAATTCGTCATCAGACACTGAAAACGATTTTGCGACTTTGCTCAGCGATGTGCGAATTTGCCTCTGTATTTCAAATTTCAGTGTTTTTGGTTTGATTATATTATTGAATTAAATTTATTATTAATATATTATTATTTTTTACGATTATTAATTAAATTATAATTTATGATTTCGTGTTTTCAAGTTTTATCATATCCTGAATGTTTACTAGACTCTTGTTCGGACAGATTTCAGTGAGTTATTCCTAAAAATTACAGCCTACAATAAAAAACTACATATTTCCATGCAAAAAAATGGTACCGCTTTCAGCACCAAAAATTGGAAATAATCAGACCGCCAGGGAGGTTAAACAAGTGTTTTTAATATAGCGCTTTGTGGCACCCCTCTTGTTTCAGCATGGCAATAGATACCTGGGTGAGCAACGTGTCCTCTCCCAGGCTGGTTCAGCCCTGGACAGGAAAGAACCCAGAGCCCTGTGTGATCATTGAATATATACAGTTACCCAGAATACCTTACAACCCCTCTTCTCTGGGATAAGCCAGGGCTGTATCGATATTCATGCTGCCATCTGCATACAGTGCCTGAAAAAGTATTCATACCCCTTGAAAATTTCCACATTTTGTCATGTTACAACCAAAAACATAAATGTATTTTATTGGGATTTTATGTGACAGACCAACACAAAGTGGCACTTTTCAGATATTTATTTGTAAAAAATGTTAAACATTTATCATTTTCCTTCCACTTGACAATTATGTGCCACTTTGTGTTTGTCTATCACATAAAATCCCAATAAAATACATTTACATTTTTGGTTGTAACACGACAAAATGTGGATAATTTCAAAGGGTATGAATATTTTTTTCAAGGCACTGTAGCTCCATTCCTATCATCCAGAAACTTCGGCAGAGGAAGCCAAGCAGACTGGCAGAAGCTGAGCACACAGAGAAAACCTCTCTAAATGATCACAGCTCATCAAATACAGCGAGCTGACTTTGCTTTTTCCTAACAAATATTTACAGCCACTCTGACTACAGTGTGACAACTAAATTTTCCTTCAAAAACACAACTAATTCTATCTATCCAACCATAGCACCTGCCTAGGAGGGAGCTACACATGATTTTATATTTCTTTAAAAATGTCCCATAAAAGCA